TCTCTCTCTCTCTCTCTCTCTCTCTTGCTCTCAGTCTGTTGCTCTCTCACTTCATCGTCCATATTCCCATTCTGTGGTTTTCAGCACTCTGATCTAATCTCGAATTGAGCATTCCAAGCCTGTAACGTCCACTGTAAAAATCCCATTAATCTCCTCTAAACATCTATTTCCCGCATTGCATTCTAACCTCAACATTTGAATATCTTCTGGTTCACTCTATGCCATCAGCTTTTGCATCTCTATGAAGATGTAGAAAGTCATTCAGAATTGCTCTCCAGGGCGTTTTCTTTCTTGTATGATTGAATAAATAATGAAGTAGAGCTCAATTTCCTTGCTAAATGAAAACGGATCCAAACACAGTGTATTTTTAAGAGATGAGTATCTCCTCCTAGTGCCAAACCAATTAACTTCCCATTGTCTTGATTTGATATCACACCGGTCCCATCTTGGTGTTCCTGCAAGAGTGAAATTAAATCTTTGATTTATTGACATGTTTAAGCTAATAAATGATCAGTTCATCACAGGTAAATCACCCCCAGAAATTATAATTGCAATTTCAGGGTTAGGAGTGAAATATCGCTCAGCGTTGCTCAGGAAATTGATGGTGACTGTGAAAAGTGCCATCAGCAAAATTGTGGCATGTAATCTGTATGGGAGTCTATGTTGTTTAGAGGTCATAGCAGTATTATTCGGCCAAAAGACAATCATAGCAAAGATAATTACATCTATTGTTTCTTTTCAGGATTATCTATAAAGTTATACATAGACTATAGTAGTGCTATGGACAGATTCAGAGGAATAATGAGAATGCAGCTGAGCTGAACACCAGGGCTTTCAGTTATGGTGAAATGAACTGAAACCTAAACCAAAATCTTTATTTTGTCTGGATCGATCAGTTACTATAGAGGTCATATCATAAGATATCTAATCTCTCAATCAATTGAAAAAGTCAGTATACTACTATATGTAAACATTCTGTAAGGTTCAGAGCTCAAAATGCTGGTATTATACTCTATGAAGGTCACATTATGAAACTTTTTACTTTGTTTTCATCATTTGTTTTTGGTGCTTTTTAAATGTAAATTTACGAAAAAGACAACTGTGTCAGTGAAGTGAAATATAAGCAAGCACTTGTGAGTAGAATATTTTTATTGTGTGTCATTTCCAAGCTGCAATCGTTACAAATCATGCACAAAAAGTGTGAAAACATTATTTTGCATTACACAATTGTGCATTTTTAGGATACATACTGTACAATGCTAGCTTGTGAAATCAGTTCTAGCAAGACAAAAATGTAAAAATGTCATTTCAGTCAGTCATTTCCATCACAGAATTCTATTAAGCATAATATATAAATTGAGAATTAGTCATTACTTTGAGAAAGAAAGACAAAAATAATGTGAAAAGTGTTTTAAGATATTTATTTTCTACATAGACGTCTTAAAGACACAGCAAATGAGAAAATGGTAATGAAAAAAAATTGCTTTCTTGTTCAAAAAAACAACTAGGGAATGACATGACAGTCTATGATATAAAGGTGCAGCACTCACTCTTGAAGAGATGAAAACTTTATTGATTAAAATGATGTTTCGGCCGTTATCAAGGCCTTCATCAGACATCAAGAACAGCAGTACCAAACAATGCTTTAAACATTCTTGTAATCAGCATGCGAAACGTCATTTTAATCAATAAAGTTTTCATCTCTTCAAGAGTGAGTGCTGCACTTTTTTCAATTGATATGGCTTTTTGATTTTTGGTAGCACCTCCGCTCAGTAATTTTTGTATACCCTTTAATAATCCGAAATCTTTACCTGAAAAGATGCTAATTGGTGCGCTCTTCTACTTGTTGTTATAGGGCGATAAGGAGTCAGAGCTTGGGCTTGTAATCAGCATGCGAAACGTCATTTTAATCAATAAAGTTTTCATCTCTTCAAGAGTGAGTGCTGCACTTTTTTCAGTTGATATGGCTTTTTGATTTTTGGTAGCACCTCCTCTCAGTCATTTTTGTATACCCTTTAATAATCCGAAATCTTTACCTGAAAAGATGCTAATTGGTGCGCTCTTCTACTTGTTGTTATAGGGCGATAAGGAGTCAGAGCTTGGGCTTCCTTTTTCTCCTTTATGTGACCGCAAGTCTACCATGGTGGCCCAGTCTCAGATCGGTAAGTGATCAAGCTTGTGTGTGAATCAATAGTATATGGTATACCCGCGTCTGTGTGTTATGATGCTCATTTCACTTCCCTAACAGGTTTCATTGATTTCATCGTGGAGCCCACCTTTACTGTGCTGACAGACATGATTGAGAAAGTCGTGACTCCGCTGATCGAAGAAACCTCACCCTCCGGCCTGGCTGGATTCAGGCGGTCCAGGTGAGGACAAATGAATGGGCAAATGGATTCAATAGCGCTGGTCTATTAAAATATTAAAGCTCCATGTTCAAAGAACTGACCTATAATTTTTTTAATTTTAACCAGTTATTTTAAACAACTGCTCAACTATGTAGGAACCCTTTGTTTTAAACTTGAATCTTTCCGTTAATAACCTGCTACTTTACTTTCACCATACACTTTTATGAGGTCATTATGTCAGTATGTGTGAACTACCAAACATGCCTGGGTGTCAGGTGAGTAATGTAGTATTTGTCCCAATGAACGCACATCCCGTATCTAGTCATAAAAACGCTTGGTATCTTTCATCAGCTTGACAGCTAATGACATTGCACTTAAAAGTGTTGTACTTCCATATAATCTAAAGACAAACATTTTCTGGAAGCTAAGTATAAGCTCACTCTGTGTGTTCATGTTTGTGTTTGTGCAGTCTGAATAACATCCCGTCAGATGGTAAACGGTCTACTGTTAGAAGCACTGGTTCGGAGGGCGGCACTTCCCTGAACTGCTCCGTAAACGCTGTCGATTTTAAGACCTTCAAAAGCACCTGGAATGAGGAAGTGCATATAAACAGAGAAAAATGGAAAGCACAAGCCGCAAAAGGTATAAACGCATACATATACACACACACTTTCAACAAAAATCGAGATGTTGTGCTGTAAATTATTAGTAACGCTTGCTCCTGTTGCTCATACTAAGGGATGGGGAATTAAACAAACCCATAACACTAAATATTAAAATTTGGCTTGTAACTTATGCTGAACATAAATAAATAGTGATTCACTGGTTGGACAATGGATCCGGGCCATATCTAAAGACCAGAAAATCATGAGAGTAAGGGCTCTTATGACTTGGGGCAGTAAGCAAAGCCATAGTAACTGCAGAAGCACCCTAGCAACCACACAGAACACCTTATCAATCGTATAGCAATACCCTGGCACTCATTTACACTGCCTTAGTATGCAAGGCTAAGCAGCACTCGTCTCTTCAGAAACTGTACAAATCTAGCTTCAGAAATAATGTCATTCAGAAATATAAATTAATTCATTATGAATAAAAGATTCGAGAGTTAGAGCTTAACAAATAAACAAAAACAAATCTTCATAGCATGAATCTAGATCTCCATTTGGCACAGATTTTGTAGATAAAGAATATTAATATTAAATCACGATTGACTACATGTGTGGATTGACTTAGAATGTGACAGCAGATCCCAGAGGGTTGGACAATGGATCCGGGCCATATCTAAAGACCAGAAAATCATGAGAGTAAGGGCTCTTATGACTTGGGGCAGTAAGCAAAGCCATAGCAACTGCAGAAACACCCTAGCAACCACATAGAACACCTTATCAATCGTATAGCAATACCCTGGCACTCATTTACAATGCCTTAGTATGCAAGGCTAAGCAGCACTCGTCTCTTCAGAAACTGTACAAATCTAGCTTCAGAAATAATGTCGTTCAGAAATATAAATTAATTCATTATGAATAAAAGATTCGAGAGTTAGAGCTTAACAAATAAACAAAAACAAATCTTCATAGCATGAATCTAGATCTCCATTTGGCACAGATTTTGTAGATAAAGAATATTAATATTAAATCACGATTGACTACATGTGTGGATTGACTTAGAATGTGACAGCAGATCCCAGAGGATTGCTTTATCATTTCAAAGAAATGTTTTCTGACAGTAGTGTTAAGCTGCAGTCACATTAGACATCCTGTTAGGGTTGCCAGGTTTTCACAACAAAACCTGCCCAATTGCTACTCAACACTAGCTCAAAACTAGCTGGGGGGGTTGGGGGGGTTCCACCGATACTGATTGCGTTCCAGGGGGTAAAATACATGGTTTTTTTTGGCGGGGTTCAAGGGGCTAAATATCACGTTGTTGGGGTCGTTTCAAGCCAACAGTGGCAACAGTGTTAAAGTATCCCAATTACACTGGAAAAACGCAGACCTGGCAACATTGCATCCTGTTTCTTTCATTTCTATTCATACTTATGCAAACGCAGGAGAGCGGAAATGCAAAGATGTGTTAACAGTTTGCTGAACTCCGACCTGTGAATTCAAATAGTGTTCGAACAAAAGACCCCAAGGAAATTAATACTTTTAGTCGCCAAGGTCAAAATTTACAGTAGTGACATTTTTAATGTTACAAAAGATTTCTGTTTCAAATGAATGCTGTTTTGAAATTTCTATTCATCGAGAATACTGAAAAAAATAGTTTCCACAAAAATATTAAGCAGAACTGCTTTCGACATTGATAGTATGAAGAAATATCAGCATATTAGAATGATTTCTGAAGGATCATGTGACACTGAAGACTGGAGTAATGATGCTGAAAATGCAGCTTTGCATCACAGGAATAAATTATATTTTTAAATATATTAAAATAGAAAACAGTCATTTTAAATAGTAATAATATTTATCAATTTAGCTGTTTTGATGTATATTTGTGATCAAATAAATACGACCTTGCTAAGCATAAGAGACTTCTTTCTGAAACAATAAAAATTCTTACCAAACCCTCAACTTCTGAACAATTAGTGTATCCAAAACATCACACAATAAATTCATTTTTAAATTATCTGACCGCAGTTCACTGTTGTTCTACTGAAGCTCCTCATCACCTGTATCTTTTCCGGGCTCGTTTGACTAGCGCCTGGTGCTGAGGTGAATTTGGAGTGCGCGTCTGAAAAGTCTCCCGTTACATGTGGTTGTAAAAACGTTCTGCATCTAAATAAATGCAATTCTTGTCAAGAAAAAAGAAACAGAGGCAGCTGTTTTGATTGGGGTGGCCAACCCAACTCCACCCTTGTGTTAATTGCATTCAATATTTTAACGCATTAAACTGAAAAAAATGCACACTAATTTTGACAGCCCTTGTTTCAAGACATTTTGCATGCTTGAAGTGACCTCACTTTCACAGTGCCAGCAATGATGAACTGAATTTGTGTGTGTTAGATCTGGAAGAGAAGGCCAAACAAGAAGAGAACGAGGAGAAAGATAATAAAACCGACACAGACACACAAAGCGGTGACAGCAAAGGCGATAATACTAAAAAAGAAGACAAAATCAACACGGACTCAAGTGTGAAATCTCAAGACAAACGGAAGGAAGACACAAGACAAGAGAAGGATTCAAAGACAGATCGAGAAGCTGCTGTCAATAACAAGGAGCCAACAGAGCAACAGCCTAGAGAGGAAGAGGGCAATAAAGACCCAGGGGGGGTGAATGGGGCTCAAACACCAGCGTCTGACGCCAAAGAGTCCGAGACCAGCAGTGACACGGACAACAGTAAGAGAGCACACAACGGTGAGTGTCAAAGTTTTCAACAAATCTGTTGATTTTTTTAAATTAGATCATTTAAACTCATTTTACAGTTATATCCTGATATTTGGATATCATGTTCATATTTCTAACAAAATGTGGTGCCTTTTGTGTCTAACTTTTTTTCTAAACCTAAAGAATTGTACTGACCGATACTTGGTGAACTGGTTTACCTTATACATGATATAAATTAGTGGTTGACCAATATGGGTTTTGATAATTATTTTAATAATATTGTCATTATTATTATTGACAATATATCTGTGTATAATGTCATAAAAAATGTGCATGATGTAAACTAGTGGTTGACCAATATGGGTTTTGATAATGGCCAAAGTCAATAATGATATTTAGATACTGGCTGGTTGATAGCATATTTAAAACAAAAACATAAATAATTACAAATAATATTTGTAATATTTAATAATATTGTTTATTTGTGACCCTGAACCACAAAACCAGTCTTAAGTGTCAATTTTTCAAAATTGAGATTAATACACCATCTGAAAGCTGAATAAATCAGCTTTCTATTGATGTGTGGTTTGTTAGGATCTGACAATATTTGGCCGAGATACAACTATTTGAAAATCTGCAATCTGAAGGTGCAAAAAAATCAAAATATTGAGAAAATCGCCTTTAAAGTTGTCCAAATGACATCCTTAGCAATGCATATTACTAATCAAAAATGATGTTTTGATATATTTACGGGAGGAATTTGCAAAATATCTTCATGGAACATGCTCTTTACTTAATATCCTAATGATTTTTGGCATAAAAGAAAAATCGATAATTTTGACCCATACAATGTATTTTTGGCTATTGCTACAAATATACCCCAGCGACTTAAGACTGGTTCTGTGGTCCAGGGTCACATTTTTATTATTACATTATGTATTTATTTAATGTCCAAAGAAAAGTAATGAAATTGCAGAATTTAAATAACTTTTATATTTTCCAAATTAAATTAATTTTAATATATTTCCTCAAAATTAATTAAAAAATACTGTGTAATTGTAATTTACACAATATTTTCTCAAAATGAATTTAAAAAATGAAAAGAAAAAGATTTGTGAATAGAATATGTCGAGTAATTGAACACAGTTATCATACTATGCTAATAATCAATATTTCAATATGGCTAAATATGGGCCAATATTTATAGGTCTATCACTACCATAAACTGTACTATACTTGCTTTACCACTTTTGCCTTGCTTACCTTTGTGTTTGTTGTAACCAAGCACTATTGCAGCCAAACTTTTACATGTTGAAAAGATGGTGGTTTTGTTTTTAAATGTTTCTAGTATACTTGTACAATAGTACACTTAAATTCTTATTCTTATGTTTTTTGTAGTGTACAGAGTGGTCCATGTTGTGTAGTGTGCTCTATAGGTTATACTGTACTCTACAATGCATAGTGTGCTCTGTGGTGTATAGAGTGTCATGTAATGTGTAGTGTCTGATGTCCTCAAGCAAGCATACTAACTAGTGTATACTACTTACTAGTGCTGTGATGTATTGTGGTTTGCAAGCGCTGTGTGCTGCAGTATGCTGAATTCTGTAGTGTATATGCATTTATGTTCATGTCAGACATGTCTTACTAAAGCTAGAAAAGAAGGATACGACTAAGGATACTATTCAAAACGTTTCCAGAAAGACCGCAGAGCAGTAGTACTGTTAAACGGTTAGTGTAGCAGACAAATGGTTGTTTATGTTAGAAAAGCCCTTGTGTTTTCTTTTGTTTGTTTGCCCTGAGCGGACTCAGTTAGTGACACGTGTCTTATCTGAATGTCAGGGAACGAGGAACTGAACTCACCTGACAGTGACGACAGTGAAAGCAAGAGATCGGACGGTAACACCATCATCTCCTTTAACTGCTATTGGCATCACATAGCAGCTGAATACTAATTTGCATACTAGCAGCCTAATTTGCGGCACTATGTCCTAACCAGGCGTGACACAACAAGTTGGCAATAACAAGTCTGTCCACACTCAAAACAAAAATCACTGCAAATCAGAACATATCGGTTGTTTTGACCGGTGAGGTTTCATTGTGGATGGGGCTACATAGATCATCATGACAGAAGTCTAAACTAAGATTGTCTTGTTTTTGTCACAGTCACAACTGGTTGTAACAAATAACTCAGAACATGGAAGAAATTTTACAAGTTTTTATTACTTGTTTTATTGTGTTGCACCTGGTTAGGACACGGTGTACAACAGTGACTACAGCATCATAAAACTGCACTCACATAATAAAGAGAAAATAATCATCTTGGGAGTCATATCAGTCCAAAAAAAAAAAAACATCCAAGGGTACATTCCTCTAAAATCCAATGGAAGTCTTTTATTATCCGAGCACCTTTTGTACAGTATAAATCTCAATTTCCAAAAATTGACCCTTATGACTGGTTTTGTGGTCCAGGGTCACATATATACTGTGTATATATATATATATATATATATATATATATATATAAACTAAAACTGACCCCAAGCTATTGCACAGTATTATATATGGATTCAAGGATTAATAGATATTTTAACTGGAATATAAGACAAAAAGTACTTGATCTGCAGTGCTTTCAAACATGCTGTGTCAAGATCCATCGTCACGGATTTAGCGTCAGACCTCATTGTTTCCCACATGATCAATAGTCATTTTTTTTTTTGACTTGACAGCTCCCATTCCAGTTCACTTTTGTTGTATGAAAGAACAGCCAAGACATTCTGCAAAGTAATGCCTCTTGTGTTCCACTAAAGAAAGGCAATCACATGGGTTTGGATTTACATAATGATCAAATTTTCATTTTTCATTGAAGCATCCAAAAACATTATGAAACCTTCAAAATCACCTTTTCTGAGATGGTAAAGTCAGCATACAGTAGACAGTGAGAGATGTTGTACTGTGTACAACTACAGACAAAGACTATCCATATATGTGTTTAGTTCATCTCTCCATCATGTGGCATGTCAGTTGTCATAGCACCTCATTCCCCTGTCAGACATCAGTCAGAGCTGTGGAACAGGAGCTCTAAATGTGCCAAATATCTGCTCTCCTCTGCAGACTCAGAAGACGAGCACAGTCACTGTGGGATCTCCCCCTCTTCACTGGCAGACAGTTCAGCCGCTGCATCTGCGCCTGATGCAGACTAACAGCACTCCAAATCCTGTACTATGCTGTCACCTGGTGGTTATTTTTTATTATTCATCTTTTTTTTCTTTCTTTTTTTTTTTTTTTAGGACATTTCACATCTTAAAATCAGATATTTTTGTCTCTGATGGAGTTTATTTTTTCATACTTTCTTTAATTCACATCTGTCTTCAAGGATGCACTCCAGGTTTTGGTTCAAAGATACACAAAACCATAGAGAACTGAGACTTTGGCATGAAACGGATGTACAAAAGTCATGCATGGTGCCGCGGTAGCTTTTGAAAACTGTTGGCACCAAAGCCACACGCATGAAGATGAAATGTGTCCCATGTCAAGTCGATGGAGACCAACCCAGCTGATGTTCTTCCCTCGGGGACAACACGACATCTGCTGACCACTCAAGCGCCAAACCTGCACAGACAGCGAACAGAGAACTTCAAAGATCTTCAGTCCCTCAGAGCGCTCATGCAACCAGATCACCTTCAACGGTTACCGTGTCCTAAGAATGTCTGCAGAACTGCTGTTCATTTACCTCTTATTTTTATTTGTTAGTCGTAAATTTGATGTTGCTGTCGTCCTGTTTTTTTTTGTTTGTTTGTTTGTTTTGTGTATGATACTGTACAGTTTCCATCGTGTGTGTCTTCTGTACATATGCTTTCAGGAGCTTCTTGATATCAAACCGTGTATGTGATTGAGGGTTTGATCGTTAATATAATGGCCCATAATCCTTTGCCAATATCCGTGCCAGTGTCACTTTGATCATAGAAGATTTTTTCACAAATAGCTCAGTTCTGTCACAATATGACATAAGTTTGACAACTATTCAAATGATTTTGTTATATGTGATTTGCACAACATATATCTACATCAGTTGGATATTGTGAAATTACAAAGAAAATGAATGCTTATATAGAGGGGTCCAAAAGTCTGAGGCCACACTGAAAATCTGGGGTTTTCTTGAAAAAAAAAAAAAAAGTTTTAATATATCAAAATGCAAGTGTTATGATGTAAAATTAGAAATATATATTTAATTAGTAAATATCAATGTACATTTTTCAACTTCTCACTCAAATTGTTATTATATTATTTGATATATTACATTTTGTATGTTATAATTTTAACATTTTTTTAATTTTAAACATTTTCTTTTTTTGCATTAAATTGGAAAAATACTAAATTAGCCTCAGATTTTTGAACCCCACTATATGTATTAAATGAATAATTCATCTAAAAATGAAAATGTACTCACACTCACAGGCCATCTAAGATGAAGATGAGTTTGTTTCTTCATCGGAACAGATTTGGAGAAATGTAGCATTACATCACTTGCTCATCAATGGATCCTCTGCAGTGAATGGGTGCCGTCAGAAAACAGCTGATAAAAACATCACAATAATCCACACCACTCCAGTCCATCAATTAATGTCTTGTGAAGTAAAAAGCTGCATGTTTGTAAGAAGTCCATCATTAAGGCATTTTAACCGAAATTTAATTCTCATTCTGACGGCACCCATTCACTGCAGAGGATCCATTGGTGAGCAAGTGATGTAATGCTACATTTCTCCAAATCTGTTTAGATGACAACACAAACTCATCTGAGGGTGAGTACATTTTTAGCACATTTTTATTTTTTATGTGAACTATTCCTTTAAAATGAATGAAGGTACAGCTGCCCTTTTAAATAACAAATTATATCTGATTATCTGTGTTATTATGAGCCAAATCTGATGGGCCAATTTCTCTCTTAAACCTCTGCGGAGATTGTCAGCTGTTCAAGATCTTAAAATGTAGTAAATGTAATTATTTTCACATTAGGTTGTATTTTTAATTTTCTTCTGTTTTTGTATTGAATGTATATAAAAGATTATATTATTTATGAAGTGTTTATAGGGAAATTTGGTATGAACAATGAACAATATAGATTAATTGTAGGAAGGTGTACTATTCATCCTTACTAAAATCTCTGAGAGAATTATGATCTTATTTTTGTTTTTCAATCTGGTAAATGAGGAAATAGATTAAAGTACATTTTAGCATGAGCATCTTGATCAGTCAGGTGCTGCGTGCTGATATGACATTTTAGTTCACTGTGCTAGCGAGATTTTTATGTCCCTGTCTGTGCCGCTCATCTTCTCAGAGTATAATGCACCTGTTCATGTGAATCTTTTCATTTATAAATTGTAAAATGTAGAAAACTAAAAACAAACAAAAAAAGGCTTCTTGTAAATAGGCTGTTATAAATAGGCAGCAAAATCCAGTGTAAATGTCTCTGTTGCCTCAACCAAAGATGAATATAATGTCTGTACGTCATTTATCTGGAGGTCATCGCAAACCATCATTCATGCATACTTCTATGAGTCATTTAGAAAGCAAGAAAAGAAAGATAAAGAATGAAGCATTGTTGCCTTAAATCTATTATTAATTACAAATCCTTGGGAATTATTCTCTGTTGTCATTCATAAAATATTTGTGTTCATCTTCCTGTTTAGTCATCCTTCTCTGACTCAGTTCTGAGCCATGACACATATCTTGAGCTTGCTTTTTTCTGTGCTTATGTCAACGCTTTCTTCATATCTGAGAGACATTGACGTGATTTCATCATTTTTATTTTACTGGAGAGTTGTGAATTTCAGCATGTTGCTCTTCTCAGCTGTGAGGCTGAACTTTGCAAAGCACATTTGATTGGTTGATACTGTGACATTATAAAATATTATGAATATTATGAATATTATAGTGATATTTTGTTTGTTATTTATTTTGTTTATTGCCCCTCCTTTCCTATTAAATTCCCACGAGCAGAACAGAGAGTTGGTGACATACTGCAAATATCATTTTCTTAATCAGTGTTTTCCAGCAAAACATCTAAACATTCTTAAAACAAGCCATATATATATATATATATATATATATATATATATATATATTGTTTTA